CGGCTGTCACGTGGTTCTTTAAGCCCAATAGTTCCAAAACATACGCGGGCTGTCATGTTCTTCTATGGACAGACAGCAGCGATTGCATTATTAAACGGTAAATATAAAATAAAACACACACCCAAGTACTTTTTAAGCTGTTATTGCATTTTGTTAATGTCAGTTTTGCATTTGGAGAGGCAGGGTGACAACTTAGATAAGTTTATAGGCTATATTTTTGGAGGGAAACGCTAGTGTTCATGTTCGCATGGGTAGTAGCACTGGCTTTAGCGGATCTAACTTAACTTTTCCATGTCATTCATCTGATGATGGACGTCTCATGATATTTATTTTAGCACAACTGGGCTGTATTAGGCTATTGATTCCCGTGATCTTGCTTATAAATTCCGATTCAGCCATTAGCCTACCTTCGTGATCACGCAGAGGTCTGCAGTCCGTTCAGAACTCCAACCAACATAAAATATAAATAATTACGCACGCTGTGCATGTACAAATGCATGATTTAGGAGGGAAATAGACTGCTCCCATAACGTAGAAAGCAACGACTATATACAGCAATGTTCGGTAAATATTCAACCGAAAAATATTCTTCATAAAATTAAACCGGAGAGATAGTTAATGAGTGAATTAACTATGTTCCTAAATACATATAAGCACATATATGCATAACCCTAACCCATTTAAATAAATTAATTGTGTGTGTGTGTATGTATATATAATTTTATATATAGGCTATATACACTCACCGGCCACTTTATTAGGTACACCTGTCCAACTGCTCGTTAACACTTAATTTCTAAGCAGCCAATCACATGGCGGCATTTAGGCATGTAGACATGGTCAAGACATACCCCACCGGGTACCACTCATCTCCACTACAAATAGGAAAAAGAGGCTACAATTTGCAAGAGCTCACCAAAATTGGACAGTTGAAGACTGGAAAAATGTTGCCTGGTCTGATGAGTCTCGATTTCTGTTGAGACATTCAGATGGTAGAGTCAGAATTTGGCGTAAACAGAATGAGAACATGGATCCATCATGCCTTGTTACCACTGAGCAGGCTGGTGGTGGTGGTGTAATGGTGTGGGGGATGTTTTCTTGGCACACTTTAGGCCCCTTAGTGCCAATTGGGCATCGTTTAAATGCCACGGCCTACCTGAGCATTGTTTCTGACCATGTCCATCCCTTTATGGCCACCATGTACCCATCCTCTGATGGCTACTTCCAGCAGGATAATGCACCATGGTACAAAGCTCGAATCATTTCAAATTGGTTTTCTTGAACATGACAATGAGTTCACTGTACTAAAATGGCCTCCACAGTCACCAGATCTCAATCCAATAGAGCATCTTTGGGATGTGGTGGAACGGGAGATTCGCATCATGGATGTGCAGCCGACAAATCTGCGGGAACTGTGTGATGCCATCATGTCAATATGGACCAAACTCCCTGAGGAATGCTTCCAGCACCTTGTTGAATCTATGCCACGAAGAATTGAGGCAGTTCTGAAGGCAAAAGGGGGTCCAACCCGTTACTAGCATGGGGTACCTAATAAAGTGGCCGGTGAGTGTATGTATATATATATATATATATATAAACATATAAAATATTATTAAAAATATGATATATTATATACATCAGTTACCGTAAGTTAGCTAAAGTTAGTGAAGTGTTGGTCACGTAACCTATAGCTGCAATTAACCTATTATCTTCCAATAAACATTTACTAAAACTGGCTACATAAAATATAACTACAGACTAGATTCACGAGAGGTCGGCTAATGTGTGTAAAAGTAAACAAATACAGTAATTTCATTAATTTACCAGCAAACGTACTTCGGAAGCACTGACAATGAATGGGGTTCAATGGAGAAACTATCAGTGTTTGGAACTATTGGCCGCTCCATGACACGCGTTACTTCCGCATTCCAAAGTTCCTATGGCGGTCTATGGGAGTGTCACAACTCTCTCTCTCTCTATGGCTCTGGCGCTAACTGTTGCTCTGGTCTTCGTCAACAACACGCGCTTGCACCCCCTGCTGGCAAGGTCGACTAACAGCAGATGGAGATTATGCTCGGTAATCTACTGCTTTTACTGCAGCTCCTGGATGTCAACGTTGAATTTACTGTCGAATTTGAACCACAGAATTTGTGGAAGCGAAATAAAATGGACAGAAAACCGCCTGTTGAATATTATAGGTTGTATTTTTAATTAGTTTGAATATTTTGGAAGTGAAATATGAAAGGTGAATTTTTACTAATGAAAATGTGTTTGAAATTTTTTGATTTGAAATATTCACAGCTTAAATATTCAACCATGCTAAATTTCAGCCTATAAAAATGCAAGCCCTAAAAATACAATGCATTAAAATACAAGCAGGGTTAATACAATGCATATTTTTTTCATTAGTACAATTCAACAGGCTTATTGTTTCAAAAACATTTGGCATTATTTTACTTCCATATTCGCGGAATTGCAGTCATTTTTTCTGTAGCCACTCCGAAGTCCGAAAGAAATCTTTTGTATTTTACAGCGGGTGAGTCTCCAGTTGTCACTGGTGATTGTCGTTTGAACCTTTCTGGATCCGCCATCAAATTGATAAGTTTAATTATATCAAGTGCTGTGAGAAAAGACTATAAATCTCCACCTCCAACATCCTCACACTCAATACACCCTACTAGCCGAGACTCTTCTTTATGTGTACAGATGTGTGTGCAGGTGTGTGTACAGATGTGACGTAATGACGCAAAGACATGCTCGAATCTCCCGCTGAAATCCACCAGTACCACTGGAGTTAAAAACATTTTTACAAGCTTACCGCTTTGAATCGAGCTAAGCAGAGAGTGTTGAACACTGGCTGGTTATGTATTTTCTCAAATATGTATTTTGGATAATTTTTAACCCAAAAAAGTTACGGAATGCAGCTTTAAATAAGATTAATAAAATAATAAAAGATTTCATAATGCAGTTAACTACCATTAACAAATGGAGCCTTATTGTTAAGTGTTACCAATAAATCCAGCATAAATATTTATTTATAGATTTAGTATAGAGTTAGTTTAGTTTAGAGTTGTTGAATCAGGTATTTGGGAATCAGGTAATCAGCTCAGATGGCGAGTTAATTCCTGCAAACAAACAGTCATACTTGTTCTGGTTTATCTGCATCTCAAGCTAAATGTGTCAGTATATTAAAAACAGTTACAGACAGGCACTGTTTGGTTATTGCAGTTTCTTAGAAAACTGTTGTGATAGTTTGTACCGAAGGCGTTTCCGTCTCCTATAGGCTAAACGTATAGGCGTATCTCACGTCTATAATAAGAAACAGCTGTAAAGAACAAATTCCCCAGGTCTCTTTATATGGGGTAAACCTATAAAGTGTCCTGCTGGGATTTTCATAGTTAAGGATGTAAATACCATTCATTTAAAACTCACAATAATTGCACTATTAACTTCATAATTACTGCAAAAATCTCAAAATGGAGAGCAAAAACAACAGTCCAAATGCTTTTGCAGCTGATAGAGTTGATAGTGTGTGTGTTTAAATGTGTTTTTGTCGTGCATGTGAGTGACTGAGAGGTTTACACTGTAAACATTGTGTTTTCAATGTAAAATGCTGACATTGTTCCCTGTTCCAGGTTCCAGAACGGCCCAGAGCAAGAGAGAGAGAGATACAGCAGCTCTTTGTGTTTTATCACCCTGTTTGTGTTTTGCAGTGATGTTTTTTTTCTTCTAATTATTGGTGGCTCTTTTCTACCTTTGAACCACACATGGAACATATTAAAAGACAACTATTTAAAGTTTTTTTTTTTTTAAGAGCTTGATAAAAATGACATTTCAAATAAATGCTGTTCTTTTGAACATTCTATTCATCAAAGAATCCTGAAAAAATGCATCATCCGAATCATGTGACCCTGCACAGAAGGTCCGACATTCTTCTATTGACACTGAAGATGCTTTGAAACATCCCAAAATATGCTGGAGAACCTGATCATCAGGATCGAAAGAAAGAAAAGAAAGAAAGAAAGATTTCCAATAGTAATCTCTAACATTTGAGTGTGTGTGTGTGTAGCCTCTGGTTAAGAAAGAAAGTAGCACACCCCCTTGCAAACCTCTGTGCCAACTGTTATATAACAAAGCTGTTAAAAGAGAAGGGGCCTTAAACGCAACATTATGCCTCTGTGTGTGTGTGTGTGTGTGTGTCTGTTTATGAGAAAGGGCCCTAAACTCAACATTATATATGCCTCTGTGTGTGTGTGTGTGTGTGTGTGTGTGTGTGTCTGTTTATGAGAAAGGGCCCTAAACTCAACATTATATATATGCCTGTGTGTGTGTGTGTGTGTGTGTGTGTGTGTGTGTGTGTGTGTGTGTGTGTGTGTGTGTGTGTGTGTGTGTGTGTGTGTGTGTGTGTGTGTGTGTGTGTGTGTGTGTGTGTGTGTGTGTACTGAAAAGTGAGAACTGAATGGATGACATTGAGATTTATGTGTGTGTGCTGAGTATCGGGGAACTGCACAGACATACAAGTGTATTAGAGCTTTGTGTATGTGGGTCTACATATCTGTACTCTGGAGACAAATAATATCAATGAACTTGATATAAAAGGGTATGTGCTCATTTAGATGTGTGTATTACGTACTATATTTTGAAGTGCTTTCTGGTGTGTGTGTGTGTGTGTGTGTCTACATGTTTTCTATCCCAGTGGGGACTTAAACCTGAATGCACACAGACTCATGGGGACTCGTGTCACTGTGGACCTAAACTGAGGAAACAAGCTTATAAGTCACACAGAATGAGTTTTATTTATTTATTTATTTTATGTAAAAATGCAGAAAGTTTTGTGTGACGGGTAGGTTTATGGGTCGGGTTAGTGTAAGGGGACAGAATATACGGTTTGGAGAGTCCCCACAAAGATAGCCAACCGGAAGTGTGTGTGTGTGTGTGCGTGTGTGTGTGTAAGGGGCGTGTGTTTATGTAACGGGGGGCTGCGCTATATAAGAGTGTGTCGAGGGACTCCGCTCAGAATTCACCCCTCGAGGCCCAGATTCACACACACACTCCGGACTGAGCTCTGCCGTAGCCATGCCAACCACCGTACTGGGATTGCTGGGAGTTTTGCTCTGTGCAGCTGCCGTTAGTTCTGAGGTCACACCACAGACAGACTTCGACATCAAGGGGGTAAGACTGCAAGACGGTGATGAGAGGAGGAATGTATCTAGAACATATGTATCCCGCAGATTTGTAATGATTCAGGGACATATTAAGAGACCAGAATATCCTTAACCCTCTGGTGCTCGTCACGTGTCAGTCAAAAATGACCGGAATTCATTTGTTTATTTCAATGGAATTAATGTGCTATATTTTAGTTCCAAAATGTTTTTTATTTAATATTTTGTATTTTGGGGAAATTTTGTGGTACTAAATTATATTTACGCTGTATTTATAATCCATTAATTCACTTTTTGAGCATATACCTGAAAATTAAATTTCCAACTTAAACTGTCGTAAATCTTGAATGTTTAGAGCACAGACTTCAGTTTGATCTCTTTTCAAAAACTTTTTAAGTTTCAAAAAGGGAACTTAAAAGGGAAAATACAGAATTTTACGTTTATTGTTATGAAAAATGTGAAAAAATACTATCTTAAATATTTATATGAAATATATTGTATCACAACTTTCTAAAATTGTGAGAAAATCAAAGTTGTTTTCAAAATTTGAGCCTGATATTTTTAACCATGAGGAGCACAAAGGTGACTATTTTTTTGAGGACCATTTAACCTGTTAAAATCATGCCCATGATTTTGTGTGTGTGTGTGTGTGTGTGTGTGTGTGTGTGTGTGTTCACATAGCAAGTGCGCATAAACCTTTACCAACTTTTGTACCATTCTGATGAAGAATTTTTTTTTTTTTTTTTAAACAAATGTAACATTTTTCAGTCAAAAATGACCAAAGAGCACCGGGGAAATGTTGTTGATGTGTGTGTCCTTCATATAGGTGGCTGGGAAATGGTACCTGATCGGTTTTGCCACCAATGCCGAGTGGTTTGTCACCCGTAAGGCGCACATGAAGATGGGCATCGCCGTGCTGACACCGACCGATGAAGGAGATCTGGAGATGGCTTATTCCAGTCTCAAGTAAGACAAACTGATCACTAAAAATAAGAAACTATGAAAAAAACTTTCTCATGATTGCACATGCAAAGATTTTACCCATTTGTCCTGTCTTCCCAGATCGGATGGCACATGCTGGAAGATGAACCATCTCGCTCAGAAGTCTGCTGTTCCTGGAGTGTTCAGCTTCCGCAGTGACCGTAAGGAAGAAATGATAGACATGAAATGCAGTGTAGTGGTTTATACAGGACTCAAATGAGAAATTAATGTATCTTCAACAGGCTGGGAGACTGATAATCACATGTCCATTGTTGATGTGAAGTATGATGAGTTTGCTTTGATCCACACTGTGAAGACCAAGGCCGGCTCCTCCACAGTGCTCGACAAACTCTACGGTAACACACATTCACATTAACTTGAATATGTTGCAAGCTGTGAATTCAGATTTTTTCATTTGATGGTCTGGTTCAGCTTTGTTTTGCATGGAAATAACTCAAGGGCTTTTCACACTGCGCTCGTTTTCAAATCTTTCCTGACATTTAATATGATATCCACTTCAAACAGTAGCCTGCAATGCTCATTATATCTTTCGTTGACTTAATAAGTAAATCCACTTTACCAGCAAATTACTCTTCGACGGCGATGCCATAGAAATATCCAGAGCTACCGCGAAAAAGGAAGTTCAAACGCAAAATACTAAAGATGGCTGCGCGCTTGTTTCTCTGGCGAATAATGTATCGTATCAGCGTTTGAAGGGGAAAATGTAAAACGGTGGCGGACAACACGAACAGACCGTTTCGTTCTTACCTTTGTAGTCCTAAAAGTCCATTCAGAAAAGACACTTGATAGTGCAGTCGCCATCGGCAAAGTGTGTAATAATATGAGAACGCGCATTGTCAGTGCAGGTCGCGTGCGCTTTCGTCCAATCAATGACTACGTTTACATGCAGCCAATAACCCGTTCAAAACCGGGATATTAGCAATAACCCGGTCGCGAACGGCCATGTAAACACCGGCAAAAACCCGAATATGCTCATATCCCGGATTTTAAAAACCGGGATATTATACCTGGGGTACCCCTTTTCTAACCCGAATTTTTGGTCATGTAAACGCGCATCGGCATATCCCCATAGTGATGTGTGTTCTGCGCATGTTCTATTCGCAAGGAATCTTGGTCTTTTGAGTAGAGAAACTTCTCGGCGCATACAAAACCCCGCGTGCAGTATACCGGAAGTAAACATGGCGAGACGCAGCACGGCATACTTTTGGAGCGAGGTCAGTAACGTTACCAGCACCAAAGCGCAAACAAAGGCGATCGCTATCTGCCCCGAACTATTCATTATCCGCGTGCTGCTGTTGTTGTTGTTGTCTTTGGATACAGGAAGAAGAATCGGAAATGACGCATATTGCGTCTTAAGGTTGTCCTTGTCCGTACGTCCAGACGCTAACCGCGCGTCGCGTTTACATCGGGATATTGCAATTCCATGTATACAGGAGTAACTCTCTCTGCTCACGCATGTAAACGGGTTATCCCTAATGTTTCAGAAACCCGAATAGTGACCTTAACCCGACCATAACCCGAAATTTGGCTGCATGTAAACGTAGTCACTGACACTGACTGAAAACGCAAATATGCAAATGAGGACGTTAACCCAGGGTTTAGGATTGTACAGAGTAAAACGTCACCCCTATTAATACCCATGATTAATTGTTAATCAATTAATTGTTGCTGTTTTAACTGAAAGCAACTTGCACTGACAGATCTTAAAATATGTTAGTGCCATTGTTTTGTCTCAAGAAGCACACCGTGTTTATAAAATCTACTTAAATGTCCTAATTCAACTAAGGCCTAATCCTGGCTTAATCTAAGCTCTATCTGTGAAACCAGGCCTAAATGAGATAAAAGGCATTGTAACTCATGTGGTGTACAGAAGTAAAAATGCATTTCCTGAACCATTGTGCCCTTGAGCAACACACTTGCAGTAAACATGAAATCCAAACTAAATCTTTTTACTTCCTCGTTCCTCTACTGTCAATTAGTCATGTTATTCTTTCATAAATTTATTAAAACTCTGAAATGACTTTCTAGTAGCACTTTAAAACAAGGTCCCATCAAAATGCATTAACTAACAATGAGCAATACATTTGTTACAGGCTTATTTCTTATCTTTGTTAACATTTAGTTGTTATTTTTTGTTAGTTCATGTTAGCTCAGGTATAACTTGATTTTAATGTATTAGTAAATACTGAAATGAACATGAACTAATATTAATAAATGCATTAAAAGTATGTATCATTGTTAGTTCATGTAAACCTTATTGTAAAATGTTTGTTGTTGAACATCATGTTACGGAAGTAAATGGATTATGAATGCCCTTTCTAATCTAACTTAAATTTCAGCCTGTAATGTGTAGGCTGCTGTAAAAAACAAGATCAAAAAATACAAATATTTACTAAGGTTTGCATTGATTCTGGCTTAAGTTAGAATAGTTTTGGACGTTTCGATGTGCTTGTACTGTTTTTGTAGGCCGAACACCCGACCTGAGCCAGGACGTCTTGGACAAGTTCACTACGTTTTCTCTGGAGCAAGGCATTCTGCCGGAGAACATCGCCCTCCTGCCTAAGAATGGTAAAACATTGTGTGTTTAGAAAGCAAGTATCAGATGAATAACCTCTTCAGACCTGACCTGACCATCTTTTCTCTCTAGACGAGTGCCCTTGATCTGCTGAGTTGAAGATCCTCTCTGATTCCTGACTCATGACTGTAGTGAAACATTTAGTGTGCCCTCTAGTGTTACACTCTCATATCAGTCCCTTTATCCCTCATTTCTTCATGAGTTTGGACCAATAAAATCTTTTTTGAATCTCGGTTATGTGGCTTTTTTAATGTTCTTTATGTTCTTCACACTAAGAAAAAATGGTTGTTTTAAGAAAATTCACTATAAAAGGTTCTTTATTGGAGCCTAAAATGCTTCTATGGAATCACTGCGAAAAAACACCATTTGGAACCTTTATTTTTACATTGCTTTAACTCAACGTTTTTTAAGCTATACAAGATTAAACTAATTTTAAGTCAGTTTAATGTCATTTAATTTGAAATGACTTAAACATCCAAGTTGATTGTACTTAATTTAAGGTAATTTTTTATTTTATTTTAACAGTGTAATTGATTTTAAAGGTTCCAAATAGTGTGTTTTAAATTTTCATACTTCCATGTATTTCAATCAGTTTGAACGAGTAGAATAAGGCTGTCTTGTTTATGATCTTCTCTACCTTTTTTTCTTCAATTTATGCATCAATATTTTTGAGAGCAACCGTACATATGACGGTTGGTACTGTGCCACTGCAAATCCTTTTATAATTAATGTTATGACAGTGGCACAGTACCAACCGTCATATGAGAAGATCATAAACAAGAACAGCCTGATTCAACTCGTTCAAACTGAATGAAATACTGAAAAAATGAAGAAACACATGGAAGCATGAAAATTAAAAACAACCATTTGGAACCTTTATTTTTAAGAGCGTTTGATATTATGATTACTTTTAAAATCAGTTACACTGTAAAAAAAAAAAGAAAAAAGTTGCCTTAAATTAAGTACAATCAACTTGGATGTTTAAGTCATTTCAAATTAAATGACATTAAACTGACTTAAATTAGACCAGCCTGATTCTACTCATTCAAACTGAATGAAATACTGAAGAAGAAAAATAAGTTACACATGGAGGTATGAAAATTATGTAATGAACAAAAATACAAATCATTAGTGCTTTTTAAAGTGGTCTAGTCCAGCTCGTCTGTTCAAAATATTTGACTGGTACCGAATTCATATTAATACATAAATAATAAATCACTTCACAGTAAATAGCTTTGGCTAAAAGCATCTCCCACATGAATAAATGTAAATTGGAAGCATTTACAAAAAGACCTTGAACCACACTTCCATAATGAACAGAGAATGCAGGAAAATACTTTGCCTTTTATTTCCTTTTTTATCCTTTTTAAACAAATGTGAAGATACATCCATGACAACACAAAGTTCTGAACTCCACTTTCCAAAGTGTTTACATCTACACTCTCTCTTTACAGATCCGTCTACAAAACAATAAGTTATAGTCCCACAGATTCCTACTTACATTTAACTATACAACAAAATTTAAACGGTGACCAAATAAATATCTGCAGTATAAAAATGATCACAGGGAGAGGAAGAGTGACCGATTCCCTTCCCGACCAATGGCATCGTTTGAGCGAGAAGAACGCGTGGCCCTTATTACTAATGGTGCTGTTCAGACACAAACAGAGGCTTTTTCAAGTTCCTTTGGAAACCTCTAGCCAATCACATGCAAAGCTGGGTATGACATCATCCATCACAGGTTAGTGGACTTTTGATCCAAACTGATTCAATTAATGTTACATACACACACACAAAACAGAGCATTTCCAACATGATTTGCCTTGTCAATTCCAGTTTTAGTTTGTCTTGGTAACTGTAAGGGATGCCAGCTTGAGAGAGGTCTGACGTCGACTATTAAAGGAGAACTCCGGCGCAAAATGAACCTTTGGTCTAATAAAACATTGGCACCTAGTCAACCGTTCTCTGAGATTTGTTTTCATGATAATCGAATGTAAAGAGTTTTATGTCTAAAAACTGTTTAGCATATAACGTTAGTAATGGGGGCATCTATTAAGTAAAAAGAAATCGCTAGTTTATACCACTAACAAGACTCAAAATAGCCCCACAGGAACACAGTAACATAATGAGGGTCCCTACATGCAAAACGAAGCATGAGAACTTTGTAAGTGTACAGACCGTTCAATAAGAAGATATTTTATGAAGACAGTCCACTTCGTGTATACAGACAGGAGGCATCTTTGGAAAACAGTCTCGACTAATCAAACCACGAACGACGTGCTAAGTGAGCTGAACAGTATGAAGTTCAGTGAACTTCTGAACTGTATGAATGGCGTTCGTGGTTTGATTAGTCGAGACTGTTTTCCAAAGATGGCTCCTGTCTGTATACACGAAGTGGACTGTCTTCATAAAATATCTTCTTATTAAACGGTCTGTACACTTACAAAGTTCTCATGCTTCGTTTTGCATGTAGGGACCCTCATTATGTTACTGTGTTCCTGTGGGGCTATTTTGAGTCTTGTTAGTGGTATAAACTAGCGATTTCTTTTTACTTAATAGATGCCCCCATTACTAGTGTTATACGCTAAACAGTTTTTAGAGATAAAACTCTTTACATTCGATTATCATGAAAACAAATCTCAGAGAACGGTTGACTAGGTACTAATGTTTTATTAGACCAAAGGTTCATTTTGCGCCGGAGTTCTCCTTTAAGACAATTAGTAAGTATCAGGAGGCTATACTGTGTGTGTTTGCATTGGCCGTATACATGAACATGGCCAAACAGTATCATCACTTGAACGGTCACTCGAAGGGTTAAAGGTGAGAGGTGATTGGCAACGGCAAACATATCTGATGCATTGCTTTGAGAATAAACCAGGAAACTCTGCTACACAATCATACACACAGAAATATGATCATTTCTAATCTTTTTGTAGTTAGACTTTTTAAATGAAAAATACTGCATGCTGTGTACACTGATGAGAGGAACGTTTGGCCTGATACTGTCAAATAGGGTCATCGAAAATGCTTTTGCAAGACATGATTGGCAAACTGAACATTTAAAAAAAAAAATATATATATATATATATATATATATATATACACCAAAATTAAGTCAAATTTCACCCCAAAAACAAGAGATTAAAATAATCAGTTATATTTTGAATCTATTTGAACCATTAAGTTTTGCATTTTGACACTGAAAATAATTTTTACTCATATTTTTTTATTTATTTTATATAACAGTAGTGAAAATTTAAATACCAATATTTGTATTGCAGTAAAATATTTGTATATTTTATTTTACAGTAATGAAAACACTATTTCAACATGAACAGGTGGTATTTTTAACTCTTATTTAATTCGAAGATTGAGTGAGAAATCCATCACATAGTCCTATATTCAAAAAGCATTTCAGAGAGTTTATGCGCTCAGAGGATTTTAGTTACAACGCAATTGATGACAGAGTGAACGCAAGACTCAAAAATGCTTCAGGAATATGCACCTGATCCCAGAGGCTGGATGTACATATTAGTTTCATCTGTTAAGGTACACAACCAAACATAAAACGTCTAAAGTTAATGGAATAGTCCACCCAAAACAAAAATGTAATTTACTCACCCTCATGTCGTATGCTGTTTTGTGTACTAGAGAAGAGAGGAAAATTTCAGTGTATAACACCTTAAATTTGGGGTTGTCGTCACAAAAATGTATCACGACTTCAGAAGATCTGGAATATAGAGCATAAAGTCATAAAGACTATTACTATGGTGCTTTTTAGAGCATTTATAAGAAACATTGGTAACACTTTAATAAGGTTCATTAGTTAACATTAACTACGTTAGATAGCATGAACTAATAATGAACTGCACTTAAACAATTTATTAATCTTTGTTAATGTTAATTTCAACATTTACAAACACTTTATTAAAATCGTGTTAACATTAGTTAATGCACTGTGAACTAACATGAACAAACAATGAACAGCTGTATTTTTATTAACTAACATTAACAAAGATTAACAAATACAGTAACAAATGTATTGCTCATGGTTAGTTCATGTTAGGTAATACATTAACTAATGTTAACTAATGAACCTTATTGTAAAGTGTTCCCAAAAAGTTTAATATTTATATATACATTATCATAAAATTATCAATTTTATTACGAAATTCAAACAATAAATATCGTTTTAAATGTGTGACGTTACATATCTGTGACATCACCCAGGCTAGTGCCTGGCGGCACGTGAACCGATAATCTACCAATAGCCTACCAGTCGTTGCACCCTCAACCCCACACACTTTTTTACACACTTAAAAAAAAAACATTTTTGTTGCCAATTAATCTTCTTTAGTGATTCTTCTGTCTTCTTTTTCAAAATAGTTATTTTTAGGGCCAGAGGTTCCAGAACATGGCACCTGGTGGGATCTGGTCTTTACCACCAGTCCTTGCTAAATCTCAGTCTCTTTAATCAGACATATCTTTGTTGGTGGTCTTTCCAATATATTGTTTTTTGTCTAAAGGCCTTGTGCATCTGCTTTCGTCTCCAGTATTCTGCCAATTAACCAGGAGCCCCGTGGTGCAGTGGAGTCAACCACCACAACTATGTCACCTGGAGCAAAGTTCCTTTTTACCTCTGACCACCGCTGTTGTTCTTGGAAGTACTCCTGTGTCCACCTTTTCCAGAAGAGAACTGCCATGTATTGCACTTGTCTCCATCTGCGACTTAGTATAAGTCCTCTTTTACAAGTCCAGGCGGTAGTATTGGCTTGGTTTTCAACAGAAGAAGCGGGTTTGGAGTGAGTGCTTCCAGGTGCACCTCCTTGTTATTGTTTTCCAGTCTAAGATATGTTCCTGCATAATCAGTTTGTCTGGCAGAATAAACGGTGCTAGAAATCCTAAAGGGTCGTATACAGAGCCAACCATGCAAGATGGCGCGTCTGGTGTATGCTTGTGGCTGTGCAGTAATTCTGAACATGAACACATCTGTTTCAACGCACCAGTGCAATTCTAGTGCTCTTTCCATCGGCAGGTTGTCCCTGTCCAAATCCAACTCTTTTGTCTATTTGGTTCTGTTTTCTTGTGGATTGGATCCCAATACTTTATGGCTGTTGCTGATCCACTTTGACAATATGAATCCTCCCTCCTGGCAGAGACCAGTCAGGTCTCTTACCATAAGAA